GAATAGAATTGCGTATCCCGTACCTCTGTAACAAAGACTAATGTTGGTACTTACGGTACGGAATACCGTCGCTGATCAGTGAGGGGCGTTTGCCACGGTTGGCCCTAGTGGAGCACTAGGCTTTACAGAGTTAGAATGTGACGGACTCGAACCCCTGTTTGTTTACTGTACTTACAATATTTACGATACTGTATTCATGGAATACAAATATCTATACAAAGGTATAGGAGAATTGAATTGAATAGTTCATGCAGAGAATGATATCGAATAGGAGAATACTTTGAGAATAGAATGCATTGATTATGATATGATATACAGAGTCCGTACAGAAAAGATAATAAGATTATGTATGTACGGTACTTGCTGGTAATACATGTGATAACCGTGACCGGGATCGCTGCTCCACACTTTTACGGCCGTCGCGCTCTTTCATCAGCGGTGCTAAGTAACCATATCACACTCGATCTTCTCTCGTCCTCTCTCTATCCTTTCTACTCTCTACTCTTTACCCTTTCTACCCTTTCTCTATCCTGTCCTCCCCATACTCTCCTTCTGTATCATCTCCTCTTATCACCATAATCAACAGGACACAGACATTCATTCCCTGTCTTAAACCCTTTCCTACTCACCCTTGCGTATTTGGAGATTTCTCGCTGTCTCGCCATTTCGCTTCCTGCGCCTTTCATCTGTCGTCATCCTGTTATTTTATTTTATTTTTACTCCCTCCTGCTCATCTCACGATCCTCTAAAAGTCTGGGGAGCCCGTGTCGGTCTTTCACTTTCACTCCGGACCACAGGACTCACTCTGTCCTGGATTCATTCGCTATTCTCCAGTCATTCTCTCGTCGATTCTCGATCCATTCTTTCATATTCTGTACATCCAGCCAATTGCCACTGCCACTGCCTCTGCTGGTACGTAACCCTCGGCATTCCGCGCACCGGGGTCTCTCCCTAGTCTCGTCTCCATTCTGCCCTACTTGGCCTTCCAAAACATTCTCGCTATGCTCTCGTGCTGGAAGAGTGTGTCCCCATTGACTTTACTCGACAGTGCTGCCATCATCCATTCATTGACCATCGACCTTTTGACACTTGATATCGATACGTTTCATTTGTCGCATTAAGGATGCCTACTGGATCCTCTCGCACATAATCTTCTCTGGTCCTAGACCTGAATGCAATGAACAGACTTCCAAGAGATATGGAACCCTCGAGACGACCGATTCCTCCGTTGAAAGTCGTCAAAGGCGACTTCAATTCTGTCTCTGTTGGGCCCAATCAACATACCACTCGTTACTATAACTCACCAACCAACTCGCAATTCACGCCCCCAATGACTCCCCACGCCATCAAAGAAGAAGAAGCGGAAGAAGAAGAAGAAGAAGCAGAGGGAACCGACAACAACGATACCATCATGGAGGAGCCATCAGAACCCCCAAAGGCCGTTTTCCACGACTACCTCCGTGCTTTTTACCCGTTCCATCCCTCTGGAGACGTCTCCCCCTCCACCGTCACCTTGCCATTGGACCAAGGCGACATCATCCTAGTCCACTCGGTCCACATTAATGGTTGGGCCGATGGGACCTTGCTGGATACCGGCGCTCGCGGCTGGTTGCCCACCAACTACTGCGAGGCCTACGACCAAGTCCCCATGCGCCCGCTTCTCAGGGCTTTGACTGATTTTTGGGAGATCATCAGAGGAGGATGCGGGTCATCACTCAAGGATTTTGGTAATCAGGACTTGATGCGGGGATTGATAGCCGGTGTGCGATTTCTTTTGGTAAGTGGACTACGCCGCATTATGTTTTCACGAAGAAAGCGGAGACGTCCGTGCAGTGGAACTAACCAGACAAGGAAAAATCTGAATGCCTTACACGAGAATCATCCCTGATCAAGCAGCATGACGGACTGCGCCGTACCCGAAAAGGATTGTTGACCGACCTGTCGTCCCTGGTAAAGACCGCCAAGAATTTCCAGGATGTCGCCAATGGTACTCCCATGGACGAGGAGGTCGAGTACATCTTAGATGAGATGTTACTCAAGGCCTTCCGTGTTGTTACGCGCGGCGTACGCTTCCTCGATGTCTGGACCGAAGAGGTCGGTCTCAGTCGAACCATCGCTGAGCTGGAACACTCCAATATGCACGGAGCCGAGGGCCAATACGATAGCCCGCTGACTCCTCCCGCCGACAGCTTTCCCGACCGTGCTACTTCCGCGGCTGAAACCGAACGGAATGAATCTCGCCTTTTGAACCGCAGCCGAATGGACATGAGCCGTGCGTCTACGCGACTAGACATGGGCGATTCGCAGCCTCGACCAATTTCCGTCTCCACCAAACGGGTCTCACATCGCGTATCATACTCGTCCCCCGCTGCCGCTGCCCGCAACCCCAATCTCGCGTCCGAGCGTCTAAACGCCACCTACGATGCCTTTCTGGGGGTTTTGGGATCCTTCATCGGCTTACACTTGCAGTCACGCTCCTCCACCGAATTGATTGTCACGACCGAAGAGTCTGTACAGGCTTGTCGTGCGCTATTGACTGTCATCGAGGCCGTATGCGAACACGGTATTCAGGGTCGGGACCTTCTCGAACAAGCCAAGGAGAACATGTATGAACGCCTCTCCGAGCTTGTCCATGCTGCGCGCGAGGCTTTTCGGCCGGCTCAATCGTCTGATGACGACGTGGTTTTCATGCCTGACGAGGGTAAGCGTCTGGTGGACGCAGCGACAGACTGTGTGCGTGCTGCTGGGAACTGCTGTGCTAAGGCTCGCCTGGTGTTGGAGCAAATTGGAGACTTTGAACTCGAGTCTGAGACACAAACAGCACCGACACAGGAGTTGAATAACAACATGAGCGGCCATAATACCCAGAATAACGCTGGACCCCCACCCGAGGAGGAAGTGCAGACTCCTCAACCACAACGCACGACCCAGGTCGATCAACAAAGGTCGCTGCGACCGCCGCCGCCGCCGTTGCAAATCCCCAGCAACCACAACTTTCACCACCTTTCCCCTTCTACTACGGCAACTACTGTCTCTGCTTCTACTCCTGGCCTGACAGATGATACCACTCCTTCCTCCTTTCACTCCCGTGTTTTGAACAGTCCCGCTCAACCCATCGAAATCTCTTCATCTATCCCCTCCGCGACTGCTTTATCCTTTTCCTCTTCTTACGAAGCCGCAGACGGTTTGCGCCGTGGTAGCAATGCCAAGTCGGATGTCAGTGAGTCCTTTGGCCGTGGTGTCACGAGCACTGGCAGCAGCTTCATGACCTACAACAGTCGTCTCCGTGACTCTGAGATGAGTGGTGTTTCGCAGACCTCGACCCGTGCTACGTCGCCTGATCTTAGCAACCAATACCAGCCATCGCTCAAGGGCAGCGTGAGCCACTCAACATTGGCCGAGGAGAATGAGGAAACTGAAGCCAACATCCTGGAGAAGACGTTTGCGCATGAGCTGATCTTCAAGGAAGGTCACGTCATGGGTGGTAGCCTTCGCGCTTTGATTGAAAAACTCACGGCGCACCAGTCCACCCCTGATGCCATGTTTGTCTCGACCTTCTACCTCACCTTCCGTCTCTTTGCTACCCCATTGGAGTTCGCCCAAGCTCTGGCGGATCGCTTCGAATACATCGGCGATACCGCACACGCTGCTGGTCCGGTCCGGTTGCGTGTCTACAACGTGTTGAAGGGTTGGTTGGAATCGCATTGGCGTCATGACCGCGACAACATGGCGCTCGACTTCATCATGCAGTTCGCCAAGACGACCCTGATGATCCTCCCGTCAGCCGGCAAGCGCCTTATGGACTTGGCTGAAAAAGTGTCCAAAGTACACGGCCCTGTCGTGCCGCGACTGGTGTCTTCCATGGGCAAGACCAACACGGCTACGGCACAATACATCCACCCAGACACTCCCCTCCCGCCTCCGATCCTGGGTAAGAAGGAGCATAACTTGCTGAAGCAGTGGAAGAATGGCGAAGCCAGCCTGAGCATCCTGGACTTCGATCCCATGGAGCTTGCCCGGCAGTTGACCATCAAGGAGTCTCGGATCTTTTGCTCGATTCTCCCAGAGGAACTACTCGATACGGAGTGGATGAAGAAGTCGGGCTCTCTGGCTGTGAATGTGCGGGCCATGTCTACACTGTCGACTGATTTGGCACACCTGGTTTCGGATTCGATTCTGCAACTTGAAGAGCCGAAGAAGCGGGCCGTCGTCATCAAGCACTGGATCAAGATTGCCAACAAGAGCTTGGAGTTGAACAACTACGACTCGCTTATGGCGATCATTTGCTCCTTGAACTCATCTATGATCGTTCGACTCAAGCGCACCTGGGAGATCATCTCGCATAAGACGAAGTCGACTCTAGAATATCTGCGAGGGATTGTGGATGTGTCGCGCAACTACTCGGTTCTGCGCAATCGGATCCAGAATCACGTTCCACCTTGCTTGCCTTTTGTTGGCACGTACCTGACCGATCTCACCTTCGTGGACCACGGAAACCAGCCCTTGAGGCATCTGCCAACTGAAGATGGTGAGATGGCCGTAATCAACTTTGACAAGCACATGAAGACGGCTCGTATCATCAGCGAACTGCAGCGCTTCCAGATCCCATACCGCCTGAGCGAGGTCCCTGAGCTTCAGGCTTGGATGCAAAATGAGCTTGTCCGGGTGCGATCTAACGGCGAGAAGAGTCTTCAGACCTTCTACCGTAGGTCCTTGGTCCTGGAACCACGCGAGGTGCCCCCGCGCAACAACGCGCACACCGATTCTACACCTACACCTTCTATTTTGGAAAACGCCAAGGACAAATTCGATTTTCTTTCCTGGGCCCATCCCAAGTCCAAGTCCGTTGCCACACATGGTTAATCTCATGACTCTTTCACTATTTAATGATTTATGACCTTTTTTATTGTTCTGGATATACCTGTTCGTCTACTATTCATTGTTTTGTTTCCTTCGGTGCATGTGTGGATATAATACGTTGGGCGGCGCTTGTCTTCTTTTTGTTCTACTTTGTTTCTGCGCTCGGTTTACTTTTCTTCTGGATTGGAGTACATGGTTGTCTTTTTTTTTTTTTTTTTTTTTTTCTCTACAAATGGGTATTTAGGGTATCTAAAAAGGGTACACAAAAGGATGTTAGATGGTACATCTGAGCTTCGCGGCTCCGGAATGGATTGGTTTGGAAAAGGCAAATGCACATTCATTCTCTACTTTCCTTGATCTCTTGATTCCATATGCTCGAAGTACTCTGGATGGATTGTTGAATTGGGTCTTGTACTGGTATGTATGTATGGTATGGTATGCATGGAATACGGCATGGTTTGTTTGGTATGGTGCGGTCTGGTATTTACTGGTATGGATTTAGTAGTAGTATATCATAGTCAATAGTATCAATGTATAGCTCTAAGCGGACTATTTCCTTTGTGAGTAAAGGGACAAGTATCCGACATACATACAAACTTCAATAGAACGCCAACCGCCACCACAAGGTACACAGAGTACTGACACAATGGAGCACTCGTAGACAACACGTACAAGAGCATTGGCATGTCGTACAGGACCTGTCAATATGATACTTCATACATACAAATACATGCGCCTCACCACAAACAGAAATAGAACAAACGTTTGGGCCTCCCAAGAGACTGGCACTCGGTACAAGAACCCATCCAACCAACCCGTCTATCCGGGTTGATCGAGAATCTTCCACACTACGAGTACTGTGTGGCTTGTATTGTACGGTACGGTGCTGTATACGAGGAAAATACATGACATCTCACATGCAAGCAATGCATTTAATGCATAGAGTTTATGGGGTACGGTATATATGACATGTTCGCTATGGAGGATGGAGGACCGGGTGTGTGGATAATGGATGGGTGGGTGCATATGACAGATAACAGCTGGGGCGAGGATAACCATACCCATGTCTTGGAGTAATTTTGAAAGTATGGGTAGACTTGAAGTCGGTGGATTTGGAATATGGTGTTGTTGCGTTCATCAACCAAGGGGTCAAAGTTGGATGACACTTCTGTTTTATAGAACTGTTGGACACGGGCAAGCCCTGATGGAGATGCCGGGTCAGTATCAGCAGGTCAACAAAGCGAGAATGGGGCGAAAAGGGAAATAGACGAAAGGAAAGAAAAGGAAACAGGCAGGTACGTAGTTGGTTAATTGATGTAGTCTACCTACTAAAACGATGCTCCGATAATATCTCTGGACACCACTAGATTGCCTGAGGTGGCTAACAGCTGTCTTGATACTTCAGGTACCCACATTTGCACCTCTGATGGTAGCCTCAAGCGGGAATACCGAGCTTTCGATCTCCAAATCCGCATACACACGATCAAACCGTTCCTTCAAGGCCTCATTTTTCTTCCACTCAAACTCAGGGTCGCGAAGCCAAAGCCGGACAAGGTGACGCCTGAAATAAAAAGGGTCAGATAACAAGTCAATATTGAATGGCTCTGGACACTCACTGTTTCTCTTTACTGTCGCGAAAACCCCCCCGAGCATGGAAAATGCTCAGGTTGTTTGCATACTGGATGTCGCCTTTATGGAAATCAAGAGCGACAGCATATCTCTCCGACGTAAAATGCAATGCGTCCAATGCTTCAGCCTGAGCCTCGGTAATCGGTGGGATGTTAGCTGAGCGGGGATATCCCCAATAGCCCGTAAAGTTGCGACGTGCATATTGGACGATCAGTCGCTCCGGGATGTCGTCTTTTGCCGGTTGGTGATAGAGGAGAGGGCGTGTGAGATAAGCATCTCCATCTTTGCTGAAGCTGTTTTTCTCTTATATCAGTCTGATCTCCAAGGTGGAAAGTTAATTCAACTTACTCGTCGAAAGCCCAATCCTCACTAAGGGTATGTATAAGATCGGGCCTGGCTGCTGCAAGCTCATTATAGACCTTTCCAACACTTGCCAGATAACTCTCACCCCCCTCTTCAGATTCACCCAATGCAAAGAGCCCAATAACATCACCCGAGTCTGTATGGAAAACCTGCTTCTCTGCTGTATAAACTGGGGCGCCAATATCCTTTGCATCAACAGTGGAGCTCAAGTCTTTGATATGAGCAAGAATGACATCGGCTGGCTTGCCTTGCCAGGTTTTGCCCTGCCGGCCCCGAATAGGTGCGACGTGAGATGAGACACCAACATAGATAGCGACATTGTCTTCTCTTGTATACTGATCCACGGGTATTCCGCGAATAACCTTGAAGCCATGGCCATTGTGGATCTCTCGTGAAATTTCTCGCAACGTTGCATGAAGGTTCGGTAGGGGGAAGGTCTTTTGACTGATCTCGCCAAGTGGCTTTCCCAAAGCTGGAACAGGCCCATACTTAGCGTCAAATCTCTGAAGGATTCAAAATCGAATGTTATCTTACACCTAAAGTACCTCAAGGCTTCATCAATCTCAGCAAGGTCCGCTGGTGTCAGGTGATAATTCCAATCGTAAGACTCAGCTAAGCTATTTCCGTCCCATACGAGATCGGAGTCCAGCTTGGCCGGGAATCCCTCGGGCAAAGATTGCACAAGCTTTTCTGTCTGTATACGACGCGTTGTCCGAGCCTTGTAGTTGTCGTACTGGGGAGCGTAGGCGATGTCGGGCTGACCGACGGGTCCAGCGGCGGTGGCGGTCATATTCAAGAGTCAGGGCCTCTTCAGAGCATATGATATTATCGAGGAGTAGTTGCGACTCGCCATTATTTATATTTACAATTCTATTCGACGTCAGCGCTTCGGCGATGAGCACTAATGCCGAGTTGTTGAATTCGCCATCTTGGTCCGAATATCGCCATTCCAATGACAAACAATGAAAGTGAACTGGGATGTACCAGACCTTTCTACCCATCCAATACGACTTGCTATTACTGGCTGGTAACCTGTGAAGTATACGGCTAAACTCAGCTGGTTGACGCATAAACACATTCCATGATCAACTTCAATTATTCGAATTTGTGAGGCAGTAGCGGTCCTCGATGCCTCCAGAATTCTACAATATGTACCACGATCACGCAATAGATTCCTGCCATTTATACCTTGCAATCACACGATGCCGAGTAGGATCTATCTACCTGTGTTCGAGTACAGCAGCAAGATACAGCCTATTGACTACCAATGCTCACTGAAACTGATGGATATACGAAGTCGGCGTACTTACTTCCCGCCGAGCGAAATAGTTCTCGTTATTTGTTTCGTAATGGCGTATTCGATATGAATAGACATCTCTACGCCCTATATTGCTCTTGAGGGAATAGTCTTGGAAAGATTTAGAGCATTTTTCTTCGTAGGTATATTGTTTTATAAGAATCATTGTTAAGCCAAGAGTGCTGTTCTAACTTGCAGAACATTATCGCCTCCCGGGATATTTCAAAAATATATTGTCAAGTCTGCGAAGATTTCTTACTATGATACAAAGAACCATGGGAACTAGACTGCAATCTATGCAGTTGAAAAAAATCGTCCTGTCTGAGTTTCCAAGATGTACCCCCATCTCTCCGTCGAGATCGACAGGTGCAGATAATCGCCTTTGGTGGAACATTTGGCACAGAGCTCTTCTTGGGCTCGGGGAAATCATTGGCGATAGACAGAACGGTCTTAATGGTGATCTCATATTCGATTATTGGTGCAATCATTTTTGTTACAATGATGTCTGGGAGAAAAGATCATATTTATCCCTGTGGCCGGAAGCTTTTGCACATTTGCTGGGTTAATGCTGTTTTCTATTCATTCTTAAGACGACGGTTGTCGAATTGGTTGTTGGTTGTCGGGTAGTTCTGGGTGCTCAGGTTGTGATCCGCGAGACTAATGCGATAAGGTCTGTAAGTCTTGTCATGTAAACGGGAGGATATACATATATCTACAGCGCAGGCTATCTATTCGATACTTAGTCTATATTCTCTGTTTTATATGCACATCCAAACGCCTCGACAAAACCAACCCTATTTGTTTCATCGCCATCATCCAATCCTAATTCAAATGAATCCAACGATTCGTTAACCAATAATGATGAATCCTGAACTTCCATATCTAAAATAGGGACCATCGACGGTCGACCATGCGCGCACTGAAACGGAAACGCGCACTGTGACAGCTGCGCGACCAACTGTTGGCATTCAGGAATGCTCAGAACGTCGTTGAACATAATGGCGGTTCGACAGGCGCGGGAATTGAGAAGGTCAATAATCCCTTGAGGACAATCGGTTAATCGCTTTACCCAAGATGCAGTGCTGCCAGAATTCGAGTCCAAGTGCGCGGCTGTAGAAACGAGTTTGCTTCCGCTCTCTTCGCACTTCCAAATATCGCCGCGTATAAGATCAGTAACCAAACTGGGCTCCGTCCGGCACCGTTCTGCTATCAAAGCTGGGAGTAGATGTACAAAAACATGTAGCCTGCTTGCGGCTTGTTCAATTCGGTAGTCGATACCCCAAAATCGAAAGTGTTTTCGATATCGCTTGAGCAGCGGTTTCTCACTTATTGGAGCCTCAAACATGATCGGTTCCACTGAAGTGGCCTGAACTTCTCCAAAATCACCTGATTCGGAAATAAGAAGTTCTCCAAAAAGTTGTTCTACTCGACATCGTTCATCCGCCGCGTGTTGATCGATCAATGCTAATGTAATCCCATTTTGAGTACCACCAGCTGATGACGCTGGTAATTTCGCAAGGATGAACTTCCGGTCAACCTGTGCAACCACCTCGGCCCCTTGGAGATGCTGCTTCCATAACTTCCCCCGGAATTTGGAGAATTTGACCGTGTTCAACCCGCAAAGATTGCCACAGCAGTCTTGCGCATTAAAGGTCGTCCGGTCCGCTTCGTGCTCATGCGTTGTTCCAAAATCAATGGAGTTAATAGGTCGCTCAGATCGGCTAAAGGTCGGATTCTCCCATTTTTCCAAGACACCGTCAATCCACAAACTCCCGGCCCCGGTGGAAATGGCTGATTTTGGCCGTCTTACTCGGTCTAGTACCCGGTTCGGTTGAGTGTGGCCAGTCGAGTGTGGCCTCTCGCACGCATTGAAGGAATTTGTTGATTGACCAGTCCGTGAGTTGATTACGTGTGTTCGTGCTGTATACGGATCCGTCCAAGGTATTGTCGTATCTGTTGTTGGCTCTCTTTCATCCCCGGACGAACGCGCGGACTGCTGGCTTTCAGCGGGACTGCGAACCCTTGACGGAATATCAACAGACTTTGCAGCATTGAGCTTATTGCCGGATGTAACGTCTTTGGCGCCCTTGACCCTAGACCAATCACCAAAGTGCTGACTGACTGTAGGCGGCATAGGTTTCTTGAAAGATGGAAGCTTTAATCGACTACTAAAAGCTTCTTCCGTGCTATCTGAAGCCATTCCATGGTCTTGCCCGGTACTCCTGGATTGTCCCGTGCTCTTTAAATCCTCTTGAGCTGCTTCTGGTGACGCCTGGGATACTTTCCGTTTTCTCTTTCCAGCACGTGGTCGTAGGTTGAGCTGCGCCAGAAACTCGCTGATCATAGCTGCAAGTACGTCCAACATTCGTTGAACGGACTTGTCCGACCCTGGGGCAATTCCTTGGCCGTCCTCATACCACTTGTTGGGGGTATTGGTATTAATCCGTACATAGAACATTGGCCATTTGTTGACAGCTTTCGGTAACGCTTTGGCGCTCATATGGCCATCCTCGAGCGAATTTTGAACCAAAGCAGAGGTAGCCCCCATTGTACCGAAGTCTGATGAAGCGAACAGCCGGTTTAGATCGCTATATAGCATGTTCGTGCTATTTCGTGGGAAAACAGGGGCCACTCCCAACGAAACAAACTGCACTCTCTTTGTGGGACTGGGGACAAGACATATGGCGGCATGGATTGAGAAATCCGGAACACAGGCCGAGACCACCTTCCAGCAGTCGTTAGGGTCTTTGAAGTTGATAAGACCTGCCTGGGCGAGAATTGATGAAATTCGCTGAAGATCCAGTTCGCCTGCTTGCTGGCCTTGATCCTGGGGATGGATAGTTATCTTCCTGCCTTTGCTACCATCTGAGATAACCAATTTCGCCAGTTGATCATTGGCTAGCGTTAATGCAACTAGTACTTGCTTGAGGTCCTCCCATTCTCGCTCTGTTTCATCAGGCTTTTGGTGAACTATTGCCCGGCTCTTTACGCGGACGGGCATGTTCCCGAAGAGGTCATTGACCGTAACACAGGTTCCATGGCCGCTGAACCTCAAACCCTTCTGTACCGGAGCTGGAATCAAGCGCGCGATTGGTGTTGAATGATGGAATATGACGCTGTTTGTGCTCCGATGGCGCAGGTGATGGGATGTAATAGTGAGCAACGATAGAGACGCCAGGGAGGCAAGGAACAGCCCTCTTCGACCATAAGCCTCTTGATCCGACTGAAACTTGGAGGTATCTGTCCAGAGTATCAGCCAAACCGCTCAGAAGTTGCGCCAATACCAGGGCCAAACTACGTACGATGCGCTTTCCCCAGTCCTCCACGGACCTCAAACTCAGCTGGATGAATGCCCTCACCATCATCTTCCACCACACAGCCACCACGCTGAAAGTCAACTGTCACGATGATGCTATGCGCATTTGCATCCAGCGCGTTCTTGACCAGGTCCACGATGACACCGTTCAAGTTGATAATTGAGGTAGAAGCTTTGATCTTGGCCACAACATCCGGGGGAAGTGGTTCGATTCTGGCATCCCGGCTTGACATTCTGACAATGAGACCGAGATGATGTTCGTATTTCACATGGTGGCTCTAAAGCTGTCTGTAGTTAAATTCGCCACCGCTTCATGGCATGCGCTAGACATAACAGAGGAAAGAACCGGACATTTTTATTTCCAAAATAGAAGTAACCAAGAAACTATTAGTGAGACGATTTTGAACGCACATGGAAGTCTGCGAGCCCGACTGCGGCTTCCATGCGAAGGCGCTGAACGGTGACGATGGAGGAAGAGCCGCGATAAGCGCATCACGTGGCGATAAGCCATGTACAACCTACTCCACATTCACAGGCTTCTTGAAAGTGGGCAATCTCTCGAAGATGATAGGCATGATGTTCTGGCAACACGTGAATTGATGCCTGTAACAACTTTGTGGGCGGTCGATTCACCTTGTTACCATCACTGCCCCGCATTAAGCTACAACGCTACAGTCGTGACGAGGAGCACAGAGAAGCTACGGGCACTTCCCGGGGTAGTCTCACGAATATGAGGCACTGAGAAACCAGAAACCCGAGTCATACTAAGGAGGGCGGAGGACCACCTAGGGTATCGTATGCCGCGCCCATTATTGAGTCTCCGCTCAGTGGTCAGGATTCCAGGAATGCCAATTCCCTGCTCTAGCGGCGCGGGGCGGAGCCTACTTACAGAGTGAAGCACTAAGAAATCTCCTCTGCACTCCGTATGCCTAGAGTCCTCCGTGACCATTGACATGGATGATGCCGCTCCGTACTCGGCACTCCCCGGGCAGTGACCGGACCGGCGACGCACTGTCTTACCGAAACCACCAATGATGTAACAGAGTGAAGAGCCCAGGAGCGAAAAGATGGTGCGCGATCGTCTCTCATGGATTTTAGGCAGTGTGCCGGCTCGTTTGAGAGTTCGGGCTGTGTGGCGACAACGAGGGGCTCCCGAGGGCTTATACGAGTCAGTGTATATTGAATTCTGCCAAAGGATGGAGCATTGTGAACCGTATAGAAGAGCTGCCGGGCATCGCAGAGAATAGATTTAAAAATATTGAGTAGACAAAGTGTATAGCAGAACAAAGACAAGTGAAGTCGTCTTGGGCCGAAGAACAATATCACGTGCATAGCTGTTGACTCCTGACAAGCGCCAAATTACGTCGGGCTCTCACAATCTCACCTCAAGCAAGTCAATCAGGGATAAAAGACATAAAACCTCTGTGAATCGTTATCCAGCTATTCTGTGTGCAGCTCCTGCTCCCTGTCGCATCGCCACTGTTGCTCCTAGACGCAACGCCTTCCGTGCGTTCTGATCCTTATCTGATTGTGACCAGCCGCTTCCCTCCTTGAATTATCTTATCCCATCCCATTCCCATTCCCATTGATTTTTGCTTTTTGCTAGTCGAATCGTCTTGCTATCCCGAATCCTCAGTTTCTAATCAAGGCCAAAATGGCCACCGCGGAGGTCCCTGCCAGGGCACATGGTGTGTTGCTCATCCTCTTCTCTTAACAAGGATAATACCTGGGCTAACTTTTCATATGATAAGACCGCCATGGCCTTCGTCGTCCCTTCTCCAGCTGGATGAAACGCCTCGCAAATCTGAAAAATTCCTCATCCGAATCAAACTCGATCCGCTGGTCCAATAAACTCCACACAGCACCCAAGGGCAAGAAGAGTAGCAGTCGCAACCGCCAGAACAACCCCTACCCGCTCTCCGGTACAACAGACGGACTACGAGACTATAATAGCGATACGAATGATGATTCGCCCGGAGCGTCTGTTAGTGAGGTGAACGGTCATCGATCCCGCTCGCACAGCGAACCTTCCCTAGCGTGTTCCGGCTACGAGAATCAGATCCCGGCTACCAGCGCCAAATCGACCGCCCCGACCATCTCTACCAACGGTGATACATCATATTCGAAGGCGGGGACATTAGCGACGGCGGGAGGAGGTATAAGTTCGAGCGGAGGAGGCGAAGGAAGCACGTTCTCGTCGCCAGCGCCCTCGGTGCGATCATTGACCACGACCTTGACGACTGTACAATCCGCTGCGCCATCAGCCCACCTGTACAACACGCAGAATGTCTACCAAGGAATCCCATATGTGAACTCGCCGCAGAACAACAGCAACAACAACCAACAAGTGCAATTCACACACCAGTTCCCATCGTCCCCCGCGAGCGCAGTGCCGCCGCACTTGGCTCCTCACCACGGCTACCACAATACCTACCACACAGCAACGGCGAATGGTATGCTGACCGACAACGCCTCGATCCTGACATTGGCATCTTCTTCGAAGCGCCGCCGTCGAAACTCTCTTGACACCAATGCGTCTGTGCGCGCCCTGGCCCCGTCGTCTGTCTATGGCGGAAGCCGCGAGAGTCTACCGTTGAGCGTCCTCAGCAGCCAAGTCAACGAACCCTCGAACACCTCTGCATTCAACACATCGTCTAGCGTCCTGAACAGACCCAGTATAGTCGGCCTTGCTAGCGCAGACCGTGTGAGCATCTATTCCTCCGGAGTTTTAAGCAACACCAATGAACGAGGAAGTCTCTACACGACAAAGCAGGGCGATGGCGCGAGTACCCGCAGCGCGGCATATTCCCACCACGGTCGGAACGAGAGTAACGCAGCGAGTATCTCTGGTGTTACGAGTGCGTCGATCAACCAACCCATGGCCACCGGGCGAATCAGTCGTCGCAGTTCGGGATGGGGTGAGATCAATGAGGATGAAGTCGTCGGGGACGAAAGTGATGACGAGAAGGGCGTCGAAAAGAAAGAGTCTGATGAGAAGATCGAGACTAAGACTCAGATATCGACTTGATATCTATATGATATGCATGACACCTTGCTGATACACATGAGAGGAAGGTTTAACGACATTACGCATATTCTTCCCGCTGGAAGAACTAATGCCTTCGACCTTTTTCCTTTTTCCTTCCTTTTTTTTTTTCTTCTTCTTCGTTTACCATTGTTCATGACTTTTACGTTCGGAGGATTATGATTGACCGGCTGTTTGATTTGAATTGTTTCATGGCGTTGGCAACTGGCGTTCTACTTGTATGTTTCATAGGTTGATCGAGGCGGGCAATGTGTGATATCCCAAGTTTGTTTATATTATTGTCGTTCGGATTCCAGCTTTAGTTGAGCTTGTTGTACTTTTTCATAGTGAGCCCAAGACGGTTCAAGTTCAGAGGACAAATGTATGCTTTTTTTATGTTCACTGTATTAAACTCAAAAACGCTCATAGCCATGAGTATTTACTCTGTAGCTCTAAATAACTTAACATGGGAATCATCAATCATTAAAAGGAAAAGGCCTCTCCCCCTTGCTCCGCTCCATCAGACTCCAGCCTCGTAAAAAAATCAAATAACCCAACCGGTATACATAAAAGAAAATAGAAACAGAATATGAACAGAATAGGAACACCAAATAGACTATTAACGAGCAACAATGAACGAAATGAGATGACAGCCCTAATTTTTTTTCTTTTATCTTCACGAACTTGTTGTCCCGACCTCTCTACTCTCTGACAGATTCTTCTGAGCGGCCAAGAACTTCTTGAACATACTTGCAATGTCGTTCTGCGAAGTCTTGCCCTCGTCAGGAGTCCTGCCGTTCTTTTCTGTGATCAGGTTCTTCAGCCATTGGTTCTCCAGTTCCAAGGCTGTCACCCGGGCCTCGAGGGCGGCGTTCTTCTCTGTAGTGTCCTTTACTGTCTTCTCCAAGGTTTGCTCGCGCATCTTCTTCTTCACACGGAAACGAGCGCTGGCGGCGGTGTTACGACGACGCTTGTCCTCCTCGGCAACATTGCGTGAGGCTTCTTCAATGCTCATCGGAGTTGGCTTGTGGCTTGGCTTACGCTTGGTGGCAGTAGAGGCAGACAACTTGGGAGTCGGAGCCGGTGTGGATTCTTGAGCCGGAGCAGATGGCTGAGATGGGGAGATCGGGGACGACTGGTTGGAGAACTCAGCCGTGTTCACGTTAGGAAGCCCGTTCGAGACCGAGGGGACATTTGTGAACGGAGCATTCTGTGTGGATACAGATTGGCCGGCAGAGTTGTTGGTGCCGACACTGTTGAAGTTCGTGGATGAGAAATCATTGCTCATGTTGTTCAAACCATCTGCACACCAGTCAGAATCAAGTCACATATCCAAAACACAAACTGGCTGGCAAAGCAAAAACATGATGCAAAGAAGAATGGGCAACAGCTGATATACGAGTTGCAGCAATTCACGTGTAACATGGCGACACAGACAGAGATCACGTGAAATGGCGCAACACGGGTTCCCACTGACGCCTTTTTCTAGGGCCAATAAAAACGACATAATCGCAAAACCCGTCCCTTTTTTCAATCATTTTATTTTATTTTTTTTTTTTTGCCGGGCACACTAGCCATAGCTCCTGCAGGACGATAATCAAGCAAGGCGTCCGTGCGACAGGATGGTGTGATGGTGTGCGTACAATGCCATATGACCAATTTGAGAAAAGCAAAAGAAAAAAAAAATTGCGAAGAACGATGCGGAGAAATGGATAGAGAAAAAGCAAATAACTCAAGAATCGGTGCAAAGCAATCGTTCATCGAAGAAACGGACAAAGAAACAAAGGGTATCGAAATAGGAAAAGAATAGAAAAAAAGTAAAGGTGTCTCGACACCCATACCAATGTATGCCAGCCAGCTGGGACAGTAAGACCACATTATAACTCACCATTGAGGAAATCCAAGAACTTCAGATCCGGGTTCTGCTCCACATTGTTCGAGTTATCCTTCAACTTGTCATTGTCCACCGAGTCGAACGTAGGCAAATTGAACTGATCGAAATCAAAGAACTCGGCGTTGGTGAAGAGCGAAAGTTCAGCATCGAGGTTGAACGAGTCCTGCTTTTGCTGCTGCTGGACGGCTTGGTCATAGGGCGATGGAATTGCGTTTAAGTCGTCGAGGTATTGGGAGAAGTTGGGGGCGCGACGGCCATTGAATTCGGACATGGTGGATCGTTTTGAGGCAGGAATGGCCTCGAGACTTCAGACTTTGCCAAACGATTCGATGGATTATGGTAGGGGGGTTGACGGCGTGACGGTTCGAAATAAATAACGACGTTCACAAACGGTCGAATGCGTGGGTTGCCGTAGAAAAGTAACTCAATTGTCGAGCGGTCCAGCACGTGTGCTGTCTTCTTCGTTTCTTTTTTCTCACTCTGAATATCGTTCTGTCCACCACAATCAAACAATGTCGGAATAGTACCGTCCGGGGAAGAAAAGTTGATGGGCGATGGGGACGATGGAGTAGTTGTAGTAGTAGTCGGGGGAGGGGAAGGAAGAAAGCGAGAGAACGAGGCGGCGAAAGAGAGGAAGCGGGAATTCTCGTGGTCCGGCGGCGGTGGGGACTTCCTTCGGCCGGTCTTTGCTCAGGCGAGGGGCGCTGAGTCAGAATTCACTATGGAGTACACTACTACAGGAAGATATTCAAGCACTCTTCTCCATACTAATTGGAACTCAGTGAATAGATGTCTTCACTATTACTCTATTCAACATCATCATATTCCCTAGGGATATAAGTATACAAGTATTGCCACTGGCAGTAGTCCTTTTCCAACCATGACTTCAACTGCCCGGTTATGAACTCGCCGAAGTCGGAATCCGATTCCTGGCTTTGACTTTTTTTTTTGTTGCCGGTTCTGGTAGGCTGACCCGGACTTTACGATGGTCACGGTTGGAGTGTCGGAGGAGATGACTTGTAACTAGTACAGGGATGATAATTAGGGAATATTACCCGTCGAGCAGTTTCTAGACTGGTTTGCACCACTGCTTTTAATCTGCTTCACGCCTTTAGCGTTGTCTTATTGACCGAGAAAAATGCCGTGATTAATAATTACCATCCTTCGACGTCACATTCACCACGAACCCTAATAAGGTCGGATCGGAATATCGCGGTTATACCCCTAGTTTACTCCGGAGTTAAGGTAGTGTTATGTCGGCGAGATGCCTGCGAGTGTGGTAGAAAAGGGAAAGAATTGGGGAAGAGTCTGGAGTACAGAGTCTGGAGTACAGAGTACGGACGAGTTATGCTCGCTTGCTGACGATACAACATAGATGAGAGCCACTGGCTGATGCTTCCACCTGAGTCTTTCGAACTGCTAGTCAATTTCAAATAAATACCCCTGTAGATAAAGAGAAATTGTTATAAATCAACATTGATATGATTACCCCATGGATGCTGCTCCTCAGCATGTGATCTTGATCTCTCTTATCTGGTTGTTATCACCACGTGACCTACATTGTTAGGCGCTTTGCCAAAGGAGCTTGTCGCGTAACACTTCAAGATTGCTAGAACAATCCTAGTTCAACTATCACCACAAGCCTGAAACATGCAATAAGCCAGCAGCTCTAAATTAAATCAAAGCAATGGCGCGCTCAAAATCCATCCGCGCTCCCACCACAGCCAGCCTCCCCAGCACCCTCTACATCCCCTCAACCAGCCCATCAGTGTCCAAATCATTCAACAAACTCTCCCGCCAAGCACTCCTCGATCTCGTTTTCCAATGGCTAGACGATAACAACGTGGAATCATTTCCGCCGTATCTCGAGCGCGATCAGGTTGAAAACACGGACCCGGACGATGAAGAGACCAGTCCGTACCCGGCCGAGCAGACGATTGACGACGTCCGCAATGCATACCAAGACCTGCAGGACCGGAAAGGTGGGAAACGCGAGGTGATTGACCGTGTGCTTGAGGGTGATTGGAGACATGGGATTACGTTACGACAATTGGCGATGGTCGATATTTGTTATATGGAAGATCATCCGGCTAGTTTGCGATGGACAGCGTTGGAACTTGCTCGTCTCGACGGGGTGGAAGATACACAGACGGATGATGTATCAGTATGCCTCCCTCGTATACATGCTTCAACTTTCTTGAAGAACCTGCAGCAATTAATCGCGCCGCTCGTGAAAGCGCATTACCACCTCGCACGATCAAACTCGTTACCTCTCACGTTCCTACGCATTCTAGTCACCAATTCGCCCTACCAGCATCCGCGCCAACAACCTGAAGTACTTATGGATTCATCAAGAGTTATCTACATCGCCTTCCCAGATAGCTGCCCGTATATATACACATCCATTTCATCGGCCGGTTCCAAAACCAGCACCTCTGCGACCACCGCTGTCGGAACAGATACCAGAAGTCTACAACGCATTGTCCGAGACGCTATCCCCAAAGCCCTCTCCCGTCCCCAAGAACGATACACCCTGAAAGCAACATCTCTATCAGCAAAGAGTCTCCAAGCCCTGCTCTCCCTCCGAGGCCCGAGCCGCTCAAACGCAGCAAACGGCGCATTCAGCATTTTCGCCGATGCAGTCGTCGAAGGAAGCCCCTTGGACCCACGACCAGCTAACACAGTCTTACCGGGGGAATACATGAACCGTCGCGAAGATGGGAAAGAAAACGAACGAACCGAAGACGGAGATACCAAGAATGCCGATACCCACATACCCAAAAAGCGCAAACTCGCTGTTCATTCCCGCTTCGGTACCTCTGGTTCCCTCTCATCGGCACCTCTGGATCGTTTCGATGTTCGAATACTTGATTCTCCAAGTGGTCGTGACAACCAAGAACCCTCTGAAGATTCTCAGCCAACTCTGTCACTCACTTTCGCTGGCAATGATGTTATATCTGGGATTCGCAAACTCGCTGAATTAGGTATCGTCGATGCAGAACGTATGCCGTCTTGGATGACTGGTGAGGAGGGCGTTAGTGTTGCCGTCGTTCATCAAGGGAAACGGGTAACGAAGGATAGTGGATGATGGAGTTGAGTTAGGACATCATATTTTCCATCATCTTTGTGCTTTCTTTCCGTATTGAGAGGGTCCATAAGAAAGGGCAGAAGTAACTGCGATGTCAAGGCCATTACACTTTGTTGGACGCAATCACGTCCCATCCCGCGTCTCGGGATGATGGACAGGCCAGGGTTCAACGCAGGATAGTCAATCTACGGCTTAACTGCGTTGGCCTGCAATGCATAAAACTGCATCAGCACCTCTCTTGGAATTCACACCAGAGCTTAATCGGGTTCTTTTACTCCAATTGATCGAATGAATCATCTTTTTGGAACTCAATAGAATAAGTATTAAAGCGAAACTAGCAAAAAGGGTATATAGAAATCCACAATCCAAAATAATCCATCCAGCACCGAATCCCAAAGCCCTAGTATCTATATCTGCGCTGCCCATAATAGTACGATCCCCGGTAACCCCAAGGCTGATAGTATGTTGAAGAGTCTATGGAGGTGGAATTAGCATGTCTTCAGTATAGAATAAGAAAACAGAAAATGCAAGGAAAAAAAAAAAAGGGACAATACAGGGATGGCCTCGTACCACGTTCACCAGAAAGACCCAGTTGGTCTGCGACGTTGACATAGCCCTCGTCATTGACTCTTCCGGTTTTCTTGAGTTCGTCCATGTTGAGGCTCTCGGTTTCGAATTCCCATTGGGCGCGACTAGACATTGAACATTAGAGGCTACTTAACGAATCCAAGGTAAATGAGGGTCTCACCAGTAAACACAGCGAACCCCATGCTCCCGCTGCGTAGCAGCCCATTTATCAAAACAGACTTTATGAATATTATTCCCGCACGACCCCCGACACCAGACGATATCTTCCTTGTCGGGTTCGAACTCCATGAAGCAGACGGGACAGTCGCCTTCGATGGGCTTGCGCTTGCCGGTGGTGTTTTCTTCGGGTTTGGTTTCGCGGCTGAGGGAGGATCCATTGTAGATTTCAATGAGTTCCTGCAGGATGGATCGCGATTAGTTAGGTGTCTTGCATTCCGGCTTTTGCGTGAAGGGTTACCGTCGATAAGAATGCGAGTTGGTATTGGAGGTGTGCGGGGGCTTTGAGTGCTTTGTTTAGGACTTGATAGGCCATGATGTTAATAACAATACCATAAGAATGGAAATGATGATATTGATGGAGATGATAGGAAGAAGATTGAACGTACCGTAGCAAATATGCTTGCAGTGGTTTCCTTTCTGATTATCCGGGCAGCTGCAACTCGGCACCTTCCCTATAGTTATAGTGTAAAGGTTCCCGGTGGTACCGGCCATTCCAAATTCCATGATAGGATACTCGTCCGTCCAATTGACCAAGGAGCTTACAACGAACATTCTGAATATGCGTGTCAGCAAGCTATAAACACCCTTATTCTTGTAAACCAAACCATACCTCTGAGATGTCGCCCGCGCCAATTTCTCCAAATACGTTTGTGGCGCATGCTTGCGGAACATTTTAAGCCGTTTCTCCTGCTCTGGCTTTTTGGTCCTGGGCTTCTTAGGTTTGGGTTCAGGCTTGGGATCGAGCGCCTCGTCTGTTGGATCAACAGTTTTGGCTGGCGCGCGCTTGGTAGTATTCGCTTTCTTCCGTGGAGTCTTGACGGGTGCTATGAATACTTTATTCTCGCTGGCTGCGGTTCGCTTTCTCTTCGTTGAGGATGTACTCAAGGTGTTCGCGTTGGCTTGCTCCTCGAGGAACTCATTGGAGGATGGCGTAGGGAGTCGCGGGTGCCCAAGGCAGGGTGCCCCGCTTCTGGTGGGCATGTTTACGGGCGTTTGTATTGTCAAGTTGGCATAGAATAAAGGTATGGATATCAGCGATAGAGGGATCCTCGTTTGTAGAGTCGCGGTGGCGTTTGTACAACAAACAGGTGCCTAAGGTGATGACATAATATCTGATGAACTGCAACCACCAAATTGGTCGGGCATAATTAGACTTATCATATCATGCCAGGTTTATTCAATGGCGTTCTGCATATAGTAATGCTTCGTCCTGACTGTAAGCTCAACTGTGGATGATACGATGCGGCACAATCAGGGCATTGTGGAGGTTTGCGGCGTTTGCTCCGTTTGCTCCGTTTGTCTCGAAATTGGAGATAACAGATGATGACGAGGAGAGATTCCACTCCGTTTCACCAACTCGTTTGAGATCTTGTCCACAACTATAATAAGATTGCTAAAAAGAAATAAACGCAAAACAAACAATGGCCCGTCCGCGCGCGCAGTCGAGCGCTGAAGGCCCCAAAGAGCCCCATTCGGTCTCTCTCAAAGGTACGCAATCTCGGAGATAGTACCAGGGGTATAGCTGATCAAGGTCCATTCCAGTATTGCGGTAAGCTCAGTGCCCCTCAATATGGCAGTCAATTGCTCTGACTCTTGAAGCCTTTCGCGGCCCTCGTTATCATACCAGTATCCGCTTCCTGTTGCCAATACGAAGATCTCAACCAAGGCGTCGTTGAGTTATCCATCTGAGAATGCCGATGATCAATTTATCCTTAGTCCTAATGTGCGTCGATTACTTTATTTCTCTATGGCGGCTGGTTGATGAAGGATAGCTCACTCTACCCCCAACCTTTGGATCCGCTTATGTGGGCGAAACTTTCGCCTGCACGCTAAGCGCAAACAATGAACTTTCCGAAGATGGAGCATCGCGCGTAATCACCTCCGTCCGAATCGTCGCCGAAATGCAAACCCCATCTCAAGTAGCCTCGCTAGAGCTCGAATCCGCCGACCATGAGACCGCCTCGGCAGATGGTCTAAACAAAGCGCAATCGCTACAGAAAATAGTCCGGTTTGATCTAAAAGAGGAGGGAAACCATATCTTGGCTGTTAGTGTTAGTTACACGGAGACGTTGATGGGGACGGACTACCAGGCGTCTAGCGGGCGGGTGCGGACGTTTCGAAAACTATACCAGTTTGTGGCCCAGCCGTGTCTCAGTGTGAGGACTAAGGCGTCTGAATTACCATCGGTAGAGGTGGAAAATAAATCGCTAGGGCCTTATGGGAGGACTAGACTGTTGAGGTATGCGCTTGAAGCGCAGTTGGAGAATGTAGGGGATAGTGCCGTGGTGTTGAAGGTGAGTTACGAGATCTCTAGTCAAAAAAAA